GCTTCTGGTGGCCAAAGGGCAGGACCCAGCCTTTGGCCTTGGGGAACCTCCTCCCCTTGGAATCAGCCCATGGATCCAGCCTGGCCAGGGCCCTCTGCAGAGCCCTCCTGCCTTCCAGCACATCAACACTCCCCCAGCTTGGTGTCACCTGGAATGTGCTGGTGACAACCCCCTCCCAGTCGCTCCCTGCGCACACGGGATCCCAAGGGTTGACATGGGGATCCCGAGGGCGGACACGGGATCCAGGTCTGGCTCTCACCTGGCGAATCCCTGGGGCAGCTCTCCGAGCCCGTACAGGGGGTACAGGTAGGGGCTCTTCCCGTACCGGGCCAGAGACTCGCTGTACAGCTTGATCCTGTTGATGGTCTCCTGGCAGGGCTGGTCCAAGTAGCTGTGGAGCACAGGGACATCCCTCAGGATGCTTCCCAAGCCAGCGCTTCCAGCGGGATACACCCCCGGAGCGCTTCCCCCCCTCAGGAGGTTTCCTTCCCCACCCTCCGGCTGCTGCTCCTGGGAGTTCCCTTTGGGGTCACAGGTTTTGTCAGGACGGAGATGATTCGTTAACCCCGGGAATGCTCAAAGGTTCAACAGCTGCCCCAAATCCCAGGGCTGGGACTGGAATCCTGGGATTTGGGGTGGGAGTGACTCTGATCCCACAATTTGAGGTGGGAGTGACTCCGATCCTGGGATTCGGGGTGGAAGTGATTTCAAGCCCAGGATTTGGGGTGGAAGAGACTCCAGTCTCGGGATTTGGGGTGACTCTGATCCCAGGATTCAGGGTGGAAGTGACTCCGATCCCATTATTTGGGGTGGGAGTGACCCCGATCCCGGGATTCGGGGCGAGAGCGACTCCCATCCCAGGATTCTGGGCAGGAGTGACTCTGATCCCAGGATTCGGGGCGGGAGTCACTCCGATGCCAGGATTCAGGGCAGGAGTGACTCCGATCCCAGGATTCGGGGCAGGAATGACTCCGATCTCAGGATTCGGGGCAGGAGTGACTCCGATCCCAGGATTCAGGGCAGGAGTGACTCCGATCCCAGGATTCAGGGCAGGAGTGACTCCGATCCCAGGATTCGGGGCAGGAGTGACTCCGATCCCAGGATTCGGGGCAGGAGTGACTCTACCATCAGGATTTGGGGTGGGAGTCACTCTGATCCCAGGATTCGGGGTGGGAGTGACTGTGATCCCGGGATTCAGGGAGGGAGTGACTGTGATCCCGGGATTCGGGGTAGGAGTGACTCTGATCCCGGGATTCGGGGTGGGAGTGACTCTGATCCCGGGATTCAGGGCGGGAGTGACTCTGACGCTGGGATCTGGGCGGGAGTGACTCCGATCCTGGGATTTGGGGCGGGAGTGACTCTGATCCTGGGATTTGGGGCAGGAGTGACTCTGATCCTGGGATTCGGGGCGGGAGTGACTCTGATCCTGGGATTCAGGGTGGGAGTGACTCTGATCCCGGGATTCGGGGCGGGAGTGACTCTGATCCCGGGATTCGGGGTGGGAGTGACTCTGACGCTGGGATCTGGGCAGGAGTGACTCTGATCCCAGGATTCGGGGCAGGAGTGACTCTGATCCTGGGATTTGGGGCGGGAGTGACTCTGATCCTGGGATTCAGGGCGGGAGTGACTCTGATCCTGGGATTCGGGGCGGGAGTGACTCTGATCCTGGGATTCGGGGCAAGAGTGACTCTGACGCTGGGATCTGGGCAGGAGTG